TTTGGTTCTTATGCACTAGGAGAGAGGTAACTAGGTCTCCGAGGCTGATTTCCCTCTCTCTCTCTCTTCTCCTCCCCCTCCCCTCAGCCTGTCACCTAGAGCATTTCAGAACTGGCCAAGTATGTTATGAGTAGGAGTTGTTCTAAAGCATCCTGTGTTGGCCGTAGTCAAGAATACCAGTGTGCTGCTAGGCCTATTCTGTAATGGGAAGCACCATGTTCCTCTTCTATCAACTTAAATAAGATGAGTTTGAGCTAGGGCAACACTTCATGAAACTTCAGCCTGCGAGTGCTGCTGCTTTGAGGCTTAAAGTGATCAGAATAGCTCAGCTTCCTTATTAAGGATTTTCCACACGTGCGCACACACAGAGCTAGGAACAAAGGAGGGGAGTATGGATGAAGGACATGCCTGATTGCAAGCTGCCCAGTCAGTATTTGAGATCCTGAATGCCTTTGCTAGGGCCTCCATATTAGAAGAAAAGCCCCTAATCCCATTATTATGATGATTTGATTTGATTTATTCCTTGGGATGGGGTGCTGGCCCACGGGAAGGAGGAATGATTCAATTTACAATGTTTACTGCAGAGATGGGGCTGGAGGCAGGTGTCTCAAATGGAAGAGGGACCATGAAGAGACCGAAGGAGAAGAGGAGACAATGGGGAAGGAGAAAGAGAGGAGGAAGTGAGGCTGGACTGCTAAGGAGGGGAAAAGGAGTGTGCCAAAGGACAGAGGCAAGGGAGGGGCTGTTTCCTCCCTCAGCTTCACTGTACTGCTCCTCTTTCTTCATGCACTTAGGCTGTTTAGACTGAGAGCTCTTCAGGGAATGTTTCTGTTGACTTACCTGTGACGCACCTAGGGTGCGTCTAGACTGGCAAGATTTTGCACAATGCTTTTGCGCAAAAACTTACCAGCTGTCTACACTGGCTGCTTGAATTTGTGCAAGAGCACTGACTTTGTAATGTACAAAATCAGTGCTTCTTGCACAAATACTTTCACGCTCCTGCTTGGGAAAAAGCCCTCTTGTGCAAGAATCGCGTCTAGACTGGCCACGGATGCTTTTCCGCAAAAGCACTTTTTGCGCAAAAGCATCCATGCCAATCTAGATGTGCTTTTGTGGAAATACTTTTAACGGAAAAACTTTTCCGTTAAAAGTAGTTCCGCAAAATCATGCCAGTGTAGACGCAGCCCTAGTATAACTAAGTGATCAGTGCTAGTTGTGGCCCCAGACCACAGAGGACGTGGGTCTGTTCCAGCCATAGCCACAGAGCCTTGGTCTTTAGCTTAGTCTGTATATACTAATATTTTTAGCTCTCAAGGTCTCTGGATTAATCACCCAAGATGGTGGCTGTTCCGGGGTGCTGTACAATAGCAATAACAGTTAATTTGGTAGGTGGGGCAAGGGGAGAGCAAGAGAAGAGCCATTTATCCAGGGCTTAGAAACAGCTGACATGCACCCATCCCATCACCATGCTGATGTCCTTTTGCAGCAGCCCCTGGTGCTGGATCCCAGACTCGGTGAGGGAGCCCAGCACACCTCAGACTCCAGTGCAGGACCCCAGTGCACACCAGTGAGGAGGCCCAAAGAGGGATCTGAAGAGACCGGGAACAATGGCAATGCACTGTCCCTGTCAGTTGTGGCATTACTCTTATTCGCTGTTCGGCTGCATGAGCTATGCCTGTGACCACAGTATGGGAGCATATGAGCTTTAATTGGGTGGGGTTTGGGCTGTGGGTGGAGCTTAGGAAAGCTCCACTGCCCAGGGGCGGATATACGGCAGGGCGAACGGGGCAGCCGCCCTGGGCCCCGCACTTCGGAAAGCCCCGTGCACGCGCCGTGGCGCAGCTGTGCATGTACCGTGGCAAAGGGGGGGCCCCGCGGAATTATGCTGCCCGGGGCCCCGCAAAACCGTCATCTGCCCCTGCCAGTTTGTTCCCTGCCCTTACAGTAAAAGGGAACTGTGGAGGCTCCAACATACACTTGTTGTCTGGCTTCAGTCTCTTGGTCACTTGAACCAGAGACAGTTTCCTGCACAAGTTCCACCTCAACAAGTCAGTGGCTTGATCACAAGGCACATTTTCTCACCAACCTGAAAACGAATATGCCAGAGTGGACATATGTGATCAGATGGTGCTGATAGGGTTGCCAGATGGTTTCAACAAAAACTCCGGACATACTTGACATTACATCACAACCTACATTACATCTTATTTAGAAAATACTGGACATTTCTATTTTCTCAATTTGTTTCCCGAACAGAAAGCTCAAATACTCAACCCTAGGTGCCGATACCGGCACAGAGGTACATGTGAGGCTGCACTGTAGTTTCTTTGGACGTGTACTACCCTCCAGCCTGCTCACTGTGGCCACACTTCAGCAAAGCGCTTTAACCTGTGCATAACTTTAAGCAGGGGCTTACACCAGGGTCTGTCTCTGCCCACCCCACCTCTGTGATAGTCTCCTCTCCTTCCCTGAATGTTTCTTCTGTGTTACTACATCACACAGGGAATTGTTCTGCCTGAGCGAGCCCTACCGGGGGGGAGGGGAGAGGGCCCTGGAAAACAAGCATCCCTTACAGCTCCCAATCAGGAGCTGAGAACTAGCACGTGGTGAAACATGGATTTTCCATCTTACAAAAATGTTCAGCATTTTTTTAAAATCTCCAGTAAGGACAACAAACCAACATCTTTTGCACATAGAAATTCTGGGGTGAAAATTGTTTAACGACACTCAGACTCTTTCATTTGACTTCACCCCTTTCTTGCTTAATTCTATTATATAAAAAAACGAAACACAAAACCACTTGAAATGAAAAATTGAAACTTTCCATCCTGAGAAGGTCACAATGGGGGCAAGTTCACCTTTTCAGAATGGTTTCGCCCCATGTGTTTCAAAATGAAATTTTCCTGAAATTGAGCCAATTTCACCTAAACCTTCAGTTTTTAGTCAAAAGGCATTCTCTGAGGGAAAAGTGGTGGGACACAGCCAGCCAGTCAGCTCTGTACAGGTCAGTGGGCTCCTAGCCCCACTTAGCCTGTAGATTCAGGGAGTCCCTTGCATAGTTCCCGTCTGGCACCAAGCACATTCTATGAACAGAGAAAGCAGAAGGTGCTGGTGGAAAGTGCCCATCAGCAGCCTTGCAGTTTGAACGCCTGTACCCACAGCACAGGCAGCAGCAGTATACTCTGCCCTGTCGATGTGTGTCCGCCCTCTTCTACAGGAGCCACCTCTAGGAACCAGAAGAGAGATGAACCATTCAGCTCTCCTGGGCCTCAGTGTGGAGACTGCCAGCAAGGGAGGGCAAGTATGATCGCAGTTTTGTCCTGTGGACACCTGTCCATTGGCAACTGAAATAAAACCCACCAGCCCACTACATGCGGGTCAACATGCTGAGTCTGAAGAGTTTATTTTGGCAGCACATTGAGTGATTATTCTTTCCAGCTGTGGTACTTCTATGGTGCCATCACATACTGTCTGAGAACCTCCTATTCCTTCTCAAAACCCCTGGGATGTGCTAATGTCTGCAAATTACAGCTGGGGAACTGAGGCATATAGATTAAGCGACCTGCCCAAGGTGACACAGGAAGTCTGTGGCAGAGCCAGGAATTGACCTCACATCTCCAGATTCCAAAGCTAATCACAGCCTAACCATCAGACTGCCCCTTACATAAAAAAAAGTTCACACATCCATTAAATAAGATGGGCAGTGACAGACTCTCATGGACAGATTTTTGGCAGGGAATAACACTTGTAATATGTAATAGATCCCTTCTGTCAAGCCTCCCTAAATATGTATTTAGTAATAAATTGCCATTTATGTAGTGCACAATGACTACTCTATTAAATAACAATGCAATTATAGCATCAGTTAAAAATCTCTCCACTAGAGATTTGCAGTTATGTTGCCCAGCTGTCAACCCAGTTTTGCAGAACTCTACCTCTTCCTTCACTCAGGAAAAGTAATAGTATTTTGATGGGTGAATAAAACTGCCTAAGTTGTTTTTTTTTTCCTGTCACCTTCATTGTTAAATTGTATAGGTAGATTCTGAATCTGGATTAACACAGTCAGGATAGTGAACTTTCATTCAGTGCATTTTCTAGCTTTCAATTGCCATTTTATTAGGATATAACACATTTAAACCAAGATCTGGAAAGCAAAATGTAACTTGTCCTATCTTCACTCCTTACTTTTTTGCAGCTGAGATTGGGAAAGCCTCCTCAACCAAGGTGGAAAATGACTGATGACTGTTTCTCCTCCCCCTTCCCCTTCCTCAATATGCCCCAGTAGTTGGCAGGGGCCTTTACAACCAGAGCCAGTGCTGCAAATCTACCACGTAATTTTTACTTCATTTCCTTTTACAAAGGATCCGCTAATTAGGCTCTCTCATTGCTGGGTAATTAATCCCATATTCTTCAGTTCAGAAATGGATGGTTTAAATTGAAGAAATTAACAAGAAACTACAGCGAGACTCAAGCAGGCAACTGAATATTAGAGGAGCACAAAGGATGAAGCATTGGCAGGGACTGAGAGCTTTATTTTAAAAGCCAGCCAAGTATTGTCTTTGCAGTACTGATTAGTAAGGGCTCCTCTGCTGAGCCCTTTTAATGGGCTGGAAAACTGGTTCAAGTGCAAAATGTGGACAGGCAAAACAGTGAGGATACAATACAAAGTGACCTGAAAATTTGCCCAGCTTTCAAAGTGAAGCCTTAAGTCTTCCCAGGGGGTTGTAAAAGCCCAATCACCTTGTTTTCTGTTCTTTACATAGAAAAAAGGTTTCTTAGTTTTGAACGAATACAGAAATTCGAACAGTCAACAACACAGGAAAACCTATTCTCATGAGATTTCCAGACCCAAGAGTTTCAGCTGAATTCAGCATCTAAACCTTTGGGGATCTGTTCCACCTGAGTCCTTTTGAGTCCTTTTCCATGGCCTTCACATTGCACTGCAGCAGTAGACCGGGACAGAAACAGGCGTGCAGCCGGACACATGCACCAGCACTTACCTCCAGTACCATCTCTGTCATCTGGAACTGCTTCTGGGAGACTTTATCAGAACCCACAGGCTCATGGAAGAGCAAGCAGAGCATGTCATATTTCTTCAGGGCCTGCTTGTAGTTCTTCTCATTCAGGTCAAACACCCGCTCCTTCCCATCGTATGCGGGGAAGTCCAGTCCCTCTTCTGCCCTGCAGCAGAAGAACAGGTAAAAACCTGCCAGTAGCCAACAAATCATCTTGCGGGGGTGGGGGTGTCTCTTCTTGTATATCTGAGAATGGACGGGAAAAGAGACAGCAGAAACCAAAGGCTCAGGATGAAGTTTGAACTAAGTGTATGTTTCCTCAGCCTTCCTATTGATGAATCCAGACCCTCCCAGGCCAGTGGGAAGCAGCAGCACACTTTGCCGTCCGGGGCTGAAGACAAAGAGACAGACAGGAGAAGCTGTGAGGCCAAGCCCCGGATACCTTACATAGCTCTGCCCAGCTCCTGTGTCATTAGGAACTCCATTTTTAGGAAGCAGTTGTTTCAGGCTAAAAATAACCCCTGCAATGAATAAAAAGGACAGATATGACACCATTGAGGGACTTGCTGGCACTCCTCATCATCTGAGCGAGGGAGAGGGAGTGGAGGATGTTGAGATTAGGAACGGAGGCAGGCAGGCTCTGTCAAGGGAAAGGGTTCAGTCATATGGGGACTCAGAGCACAATCCACTTTATTAGGACGTTAAAAATAGACAGTTGCTGGGACACCAAGGGTATATTTCCTTTTTGGGACTGTGGTTCATGCCTAGATGTCGTAGTAACTGGGGATTGATCAATCAGTCTGGGAACATAAGTGGGAATTAATGTTTCATGATAGCAACTTTTGCTCACACTGCAAGGAAAAATTCCACCCCTACTCCCGGCTCCACGGAGTAGAGACAAACGAGGACATTGGGTGTTTTCCCTTCCTTCTGGGCTATTAAGCAAGGGTCACTGCTGAGGTTCCGATAGGCCACGCACCTCTCCTCTTCAGTTTCCTTCAATCTCAGTGGAGACCCGTGGTCACTGGTGGAACTTGGAAACTGCCCTTGTCTTGATGCCCAGAGTAACTGATGTGCATCCAGACCCCAACATTATGGAGATGTGGCTAAAGCATTCCCAAGTCAAACTATATGAGTGGCACGGTATTACTGCCAACACCAGGTATCCAGCAGCTGGGAGATTTGGGCAGAGGTCAGTGGTCTCGGCAGGCCGTTGGACAAAGGCCGGGTGTCTTTGCTGATCTTCCTCAATCTCTGAGAGGCTGTGGGTCACCAGCTGTTGATTGCACAGCTATGCAATCCTGCCCGGGTAGATGGAATCGCTATAGAGTGGTTCCCCTTGTCCTTTTTCTTCCTTGTCAGCAGATGAAGCTGGCTGACTGCTCCTTCTCTCCAGGGACCCTCAGTTGCGGGGTCTCACAGGGCTCAGGCCTGGTACCCCTTTTCCCTTCCAGGTGCATGAAACCACTGAGAGAGGCAGTGAGTGGCTGATGGGAGGAGAGGCCCTTTTTGTCTCTTGCTCTCCTCTGACCCAGACATCATGGCTGCCAGACTGCCCCCAGTGTCTGGCAATATCTGGAGCTGGACTAAAACCAGCAGGCCACAGTTCAGCCCAGACAGGATGGCGGTGATGCTGATCTGCAGGGAGAAGTGTTTAACGGAGCTGGTGAAATACAGTTCACGTGAGTGTCGGAGGGGGGTGTGTAACCATTGGCCTTACCGGACTCCCCATTGTTTCTACATTCCTAGACTCACAGATTGCTTTAGTCATGCCAACAGCACTCCTTCCCCTACAGTGGTAGAGACTGTGACCTCGCATGAAATGCAGATCTCACCTCCGCTATGTCTTCCTAGCGTCTCGGCTGCGCTACCATCATAGAGTCCACGTGACACTACATGTGGAAGACACTACATCTGGTGAGCCACCTCTGTTCTGAGGGACCCAGGACCTTCCCTGCATTGGCTCTGCATTGCCTGTTGGGTAAAATTCAAGGTGCTGGTTATAAATGCAAAGACCTCGAAAGCCCATGTGATCTTAAAAGTGTCCTCGCTCTTTCTACTCCTTCCACAGCCGAAATCTGTCTAGAACTTGACATCCCAAGGTTGAAGGAAGAGGGAGCAGAATAGAAGGTGTTCTTTGTGACAGGCCGGCACCTCTGAAATTACCTTCCTACTGAAACATGTACAAACGCAAAGCTGGCCATGTTTGGAAGGAGGTACAAGACTGCTCTCCCAGCTGCTGAAACTCCTTGCTGAGTGGACACATTACAATGATCATTCGCTGGATGCTTAGGCTGTAAAATTAGAACTTGGATTGTGAGCTCCTTGAGGTATGGAACAGGTTGTTTATTTGTCTCTACCAAACCATATACATTTCTGATGCCATATAAACCCCCGCCAGTAATGGCATGTGTTTTAAAGCACACACAAACCAGACAGCATCATAAAATGAAACACTCACTGGAATGTGTGTGCCTTGACTTGTCAAAATCAGGGTCCCAAAGCCTGCTCTCCTGTCTCTTCAGTCGGATGCAGATCTTTAGAGAGTGGTCCACTTCCATATTTCTCAAGCTATTTTTAAGTTGTTTCTTTTCCAGAACAACTTTCTGAGCTGTTTAAAAATAGATGCAACCCCTTTCTCTTTTACATTTTTAAATGACTTTAGTGCTGGTGAAAGCTGCTGGTTTATTAGTCCTAGAGAATGAACGCCACTTTTTACCGGCAGTGTGTGTGCGTGTGCATATATAACATCTCACTCTCACATTCTCTCACCCAAGGGTAGCAGCAGGGAAAACTTCTCTCACTAGTGTGCCTCTGTGGAGAGACCTTCTGTAACACAGCTGTTGTCAATGAGGGTATTTAAGTAATTTAAAAATCTCACCCGCACGGGACCCTAATTCCAGGGCCCTGGAAGAGGCAGGGCCTTGGGTGGGAAGGGCGGGACCTGCCTTCCCCAGACGGCCCTTCAGTACTGCAAGCTGCACACCCCCTAGGAGTCCAGCGGTGATTTAAAGGGCCTGGGGTTCTGACGGCTATGGCAGTAGTGGCAGTGGCTAGAAGCCCACCAGACCCTTTTAAATTGCCGGGGCCTGTGGCAGCTGCTCCTTTTGCCCCCGCCAGTGGCCCTGAGCCCCACCTGTCGGTGATCCTGCCAGCAGGGTCTGGCAGTGCTGCCCTGGCAGTGCTTTAATGTCATTGCCCCTTCCCTTCCGCCATTGGCAGTCCAGGGGGTGGGGAGCAAAAAGGGCAGCGCTGTTAAAGCACTGCTGGGGCAGCCCTAACGTGGGCTGTGTCAGGGCCTATACCAGCAGCCCCTTCTTAGCCGTACCCCATACCCGCCCACTTTCACCTCTGTTGTCAATGGTCTCTCTATTTCTTAACCTGTCCACAGAGCATGTCAGCTCGGCCACTGGGCCGCTTGGTGGTGTTTGTGGCAGGTGTTGCTTTTTTTATTGTTGCTTCTTAAACGTGCCTGACTTAAACTCTGGGGCTATGTCTACACTCGCGGCTTCTTGCATAAGAAATATGCAAATGAGGCTAAGCATAGACTATCGCTGAGCCTCATTTGCATACCGAATGAGCTGTCATTTTTGCAGAAGAGGCTCTTGTGCCAGAAGGAGCTGTCTACACTGCCCCTTCTTGCGCAACAAAAACCCTCTTGCGCAATGCCGTTATTCCTGAAAATAATCAGCACAGCGGCATTGTGCAAGAGGGTTTTCGTTGCACAAGAAGGGGCAGTGTAGGCAGCTCCTTCTTGCACAAGAGCCTCTTCTGCAAAAATGGTGGCTCATTCGGTATGCAAATGAGGCTTGGAGATAGTCCACGCTTAGCCTCATTTGCATATTTCTCACGCAAGAAGCCGCGAGTGTAGACATAGCCTGGATGCTTCCCTTCGGTGGATTCCTCACGTCTCTTTGGAGGTGGAGCATGTGAATTCAAACCAGCAAGGAGTGACGCTCCAGAAGGCTTGGCATTTCAGATGAACTCCCCGCCTTTGGAATGATTGAACAACCTGAATCCTAGGAGGCTACAAAGCTGGGATGGAAATGTCAGCACGACAGTATTTTGCAGAGAGAGGTCTGCGCCTAAACCCTGGATTCCAACGCCCCTGAGCTTTGCGGAGAATTTGGCTCCAGTCTTTAGCTCTACAGTGAGTCAAATCAAAAATCCTCAATTCAAATGGCCCCCTGGATGTTGGGATCGTCACAATCCCCAACTGGATGTTGTGATTTGACCCAACGTTTGTTATTTTAGCTCTTCTACTTCCATGCCCAGCTGGAAACAGGATGAAGAGAGTAATGTACAAATGGGAACACTAAACTCACTGGTTTGAAGTTCTAAACAGGTTTATTTCAGGCACGTTTGCAGAGGGTATTGGTAAAGCAATGCAGGCAGAAGCAGAAAGCTAGTCCAGTGGTGAGGGCTAATCCCATTTGTACAAAGGGGATAACAGCATTGTCTAGCCTCAGCAAACTTGCTAGAATTGGAGGTCCTCAAATACTATGGTATTGGAAGCCATATATATAAGTACCTGGTGCTATCGTTTTACATACTACATGTAAGATTAAAGCACCATCCTTGCCCTGCTAACGATCATACCACCCTTCTAGCTGAAAACTGCCCTAGGGCCCCTGTAAAATAAGGAGCTAGATCTCTGGCCCAAGTTCTTCTGACCAAGTGTCCACTAAAAGCACCATCAGGGCTAGCACCAACTCTTCATGGAATGCTTCACTGGTGCTATCGTTTTACATACTACATGTAAGATTAAAGCACCATCCTTGCCCTGCTAACGATCATACCACCCTTCTAGCTGAAAACTGCCCTAGGGCCCCTGTAAAATAAGGAGCTAGATCTCTGGCCCAAGTTCTTCTGACCAAGTGTCCACTAAAAGCACCATCAGGGCTAGCACCAACTCTTCATGGAATGCTTCACATTAGTGGCAAGCCCCCCTCCCACACCCCCCTCCCCCCGGATTTCCATGGAGCAAGGATTTTTCCCAATGTCTTTTCTTTAGTTCTGTGGCTATCGGCTTGAAAGGAGCCAGCCTTCCTGTCCGTGCTACCCCCAGCCCTTCAGACATCAAGGATGCCTGCTGGGAATGAGTGGGCAATAAACACAAACTGTGTCTCGTGTCTTAGCATGTGGCTATTAGAAAGAAGTTTGGAGCATGTACTGTCTCAGGTCCACTTACCCCCTGTCCCCTCCCCTCCCCCCCGCCACTCCATACTGACATTCTCTCCGTTTCCCTGGCTGGTGTGCACGGTGAATGAGCTTTCCAGATACCAATGGCTCCAACCAATCTGGCTGGCTTTTTCTGAGGCTTTGGGATTTAAGGTTTTGCCCCAGCTAATCTCTTTACAAGCCTCTAAGACCTTGCGTGTTTTCCAAGATAGGAGTATTTAGAAAATGTGCCTTTTGTACAAGCCGGCCTCATTACAG